AAAACCCACATTTCAATTAGTGCTAAGATCTCATATATCCAAGTCACGTGGTCCAAGTAGAAGGTCTATTCATATTTTGATCTTTTCCTCGATATAAACACAGACGGGCGACTTCAAACTAGTATCTATGCCAAATTGATGATTTCAACTTTCCAATTGCTAACTTCTGATTTCTCAGCAGTAACATACCCTCTGCTCCGTATGGCGTTTACATATCTCAGTTAATACGTTACGCTCATGTATGTTCACAACATGCAGACTTCGTTAACAGGGTTGTGCTCCTTACACAAAAACTACTCAAATAGAGTCGACACTACAGAAGTTTTACGGTCACCATCACGGTCGGTGTGTCAGTGTCTCAACTTACTTGGGACATACTTTTGTGTTCTTAGATCTTAATATACCAGTAAGGACTCGTATGGTGGGTGGTGCATGCATAGCAGGAGCCATTTACAATGTCAACGCACTGGGTCTGGGTTCTTTTTGAGTTCATGCGATTTCCTCGGTTTTTGTTTTTTACCTTGATTTTTCTATCATTAATCGCCTAAATTGAGCAAGAGTAACCACATCGCGAATTATTATTGTTTTTGCGGACTAGCAATTAACATAACCTTGCAGAGACCAGTTGGTTTAGTAGTATGAAGTTGACACAACAGTTAAATAGACCTAGACATTTTTAGGCAAATTACTTTTCTCTCGGGATTGTTGTAACCAAAGTTTGTAAGGCAGACAAACATGCCGTTTGTTTTTCACCTTGAATTTGCAAATTATGATCAGCTGGGAAGCAATATCTATGGAATGATATTTGTTCATATATTGGATTATGCTTCAAGACTTCCTAGTTATGCATGTTCTTTAAATCTCCTAACTTAAACAAATTAAATGTCTTCTTAATCAGCTAGGTATTAATGAATGTTTGAATCGTCTTGAATGCTGTTTCATGATTAGTTTTTTTCTGGGCCTATCTTCTGCTTCTTTTGTCACTCGTTTTTACTTCTCCATTTCATACGATTACTCAATTTGAATTTATTCCGACAGCTGCCGTGGAACCTAGCATCACAGGCAAAAGGTCTGCACCTCTTTTACATGTTAAAAGCTTGTAATAGGGTTTCTGTTCTGTGACCTTCGATACTGTCACAAAATAATTTGACAATTTTTGATTATTTAAGAAGCAGATCAGCAAGGTAAAGGTAAGTGTATTTATTTTTCTCTCAGCTTAGACGGATCTTTACTGAGTTTGGTCATAACAATACTATTATAAGGGCGAATTTGGTGCTCAAAGGTATACATACACAGTGTCGATATTTTCATAGCCGAAACCTACATATATGTTGTAAGTAGAAAATTTACAGCTTGTATCATCTCATGACAGTTCCATAAAATTATATATATCATATTTATTTTTTCATTAAAGTTGAAGTCTTTTCATGAGTTGCCGCTAATTTATTTGCATTAAAACTCATCAAAGATACCAGGCTTTTGATTTTTTACGCAAGACGCACATTGTGTCTACATAAACTCATCATAAACACCAGGATTAAAATTGTGTACGCTAGAAGCGCCTATCGTCTTCAAAAGGCACATCAGTGGACCTCGAATTAAAATAGTTACAAGGCCAAATAAGTACGAAGTTGAAGACCATTGAAAACCAAAAATACCGAACAGTTGTACCAAATACGACTAAGGTTTTCTATGACTAAACAAGAATAAAATGTTTGATAAGATTGTGCTGAAGCGATGTGAAGAAAGTCGAAAAGTTAAAACTGTCCACTATATTGAAAGAACAACCGAAAGCACGAAATGTATCTAGACATTCAAAATGGAAAGAAAGATTAGTTGTAGAAAATTTAACAGAAGCCAAGTTAAACGATACATGACATTTTTTGTAGTTTAGAGTGCCAATACATTTCAGGGACCTTCTTATGTTCAGAGGATCTCTTAAGCTTGGATTTGGTTATGATATGATTTTGAACCATATGTCTCTCTGTACAGCGCACGGCCTTAAAAGAGAAAGATTCATCGTTATTTTTATGGCGAGTTGTTGCTTTATGTTTTATACCTGTTCTGTCTTTCCTATTACAAAAAAAGAAATGTGGTACACGATGAATAATATATCTCTATGTGTTATTATTTTTGAGATAGATTTAAATCAGTTACACACATTTAACATACTACGGTTTTAATTTAGAATTATAAAGATAACAAAATATTTAGACTTGAATTATTTTCCGATGTTAAATCTTTAATTCTGTTTTCCCTATCAGTAATAAATAGTAAATAGTTTACAATGCTTATTATGTGTTCTGTCAACAATACAGAAAACCAGTTTATTAAAGCTCTTGTGCTGCACAGAAAACAGTTTATTAAAGCTCTTGTGCAGCACAGAAAACAGTTTCTTAACGCTCTTGTGCTGCACAGAAAAAAGTTTATTAAAGCTCTAATGCTGCACAGAAAACAGTTTATTAAAGCTCTTGTGCAACACAAGATTCTTAATAAACTGTTTTATATTGTTTAGTTGAAATAGAAAATATTAAATATAAACGGGATATATACAAAATAAACTCATCATAGATACTAGGATTAACATTTTGTACGACAGACGCGCGTTTCGTCTACATAAGACTCAGCAGTGACGCTCGAATCAAAAAGGTTCAAATGGCCTAATAAAGTACGAAGTTGTAGAGCATTGGGGACATAAAATTCCAAAAGGGTTTGCCAAATACAGCTAAGGTAAAACAAAAACCATGTTATTCAAGAAAAACATACAGTCAATATAACAGCTAAGTTTAAAATCAGTCTACAAAAACATAAAAATGCCTTCGTAAGTTGCTTTAACTTCAATATATAATTTTAACTTTGACAACAGACACATTTGTTTCTCACGTGCAAGAGGTCAGACGACACATAAACTGGATTGTTTTTAATTTTTTAAAATTTTTTTTTTAGATTTTTTTGCCTTTGTCTTTTGTTGTTTTATGAGGGATATTATGTGTTTTGTTTGTTGTATTTGTCTGACCTGTTTTTTTGTTGCTTTGAATTGTTATTTTGTTAATTTACGTCAAGACCGCTAGTTGGAGCATTTGTTGTTATATTATTTTTGTTATAAGCTTATGATATTGTAGAGTGGAAGGTAAATTTAACCAATATCTAAAAAAAAAAAACCCTGAAAGACAATTCAGGGAAGAAAGAATGTGTGCAACAACTTTGTGAGTAATGTTATATGTTTCAGCAGTTTGAAATACATTCGCATCAGACTGACCGTTAAGATGATGTTAGGAATACGCTTGGGTCACGAGCAAACATAATTATAAAGAAGTACTATCCTAGAAAACAGTAAAATGATACGAACTGGAAAGTGTTTCAATTCACGTAGCTGTGGTTTCGAAGAAATGAAAATAGGTCAGCACAATACAACACTCTTACTTGGCAGCAAGTCTTAGTCTTGAAGAACATTATTTATTTATTAAATGTAATTGGCTTTAAACTAGCTTTCAGTAACTGCGATTTCTCTTATTTCGGTGCTTTGTGTCTATTGTCTTCTTAATAATTGTGTTTGTGCCTCGTACTGATCTTTTGAGTTAGGCCAATTGCCACTGATTTTTACATTTTGTTCTTATGTTGTGCTGCTACATCACTGTTCCAGGTTAGGGGAGGGTTGAGCGCTCACCAATATGCTTAACCCCGCCACATTCTATATATACTTGTCCATAGTCAAGAGCCTGTAGTTCAGTAGTCAGGAGCATGTAGTTCAGTGGTTGTCGTTGGTTCATTTATGTCATACTTATGTTTCGTAAATTGTTTTGTTATAACATGAATAAATTAGGCCGTTAGTTTCTTGTTTGAATTGTTTCACATTTTTCACACTGTAGCCTACTATACGGTATGGGTTTTTAATTGTTGAAGGACGTACGGTGGCCTATCATTTCTTACAACATCTCCTTTATATCTATTATCTTTTTCATATGAATTTTTATTGAAATACTTATGATGGTATGATACTAAACCCCTAAAGGGGGGGGGATTGTACTTAATCTTTCTATCAGTTTAATTGAGGTCTGGAGCTGGCATGTCAGTAACTGCTAGTAGTCCTTATAATTTATGTATCATTGTCATTTTGCTTAGTTTCTTTTGTTACCTATTCTGACAACGGACTCGGACTTCTTTTAAACTGAGTTTTACTGTGCGTATTGCTATGTGTTTCTTTATTCTACATTGGCTAGAGGTATAGGGGGAGGGTTGAGATTTCACAAAACATGTTAAACCCCGCCGCATTTTTGCGCCTGTCCTAAGTCAGGAGCCTCTGGCCTTTGTTAGTCTCTGTATGATTTTTAATTTTAGTTCATTTATATGTTTTGGAGTTTAGTGTGACGTCCATTTTCACTGAACTAGTACACAATTTTATTTAGAGGCCAGCTGAGGACCACCTCCGGGTGCGGGATTTTCTCGCTGCGTTGAAGACCCATTGGTGGTCTTCGGCTGTTGTCTGCTCTTGGTCGGGTTGTTGTCTCTTTGACATATTCCCCATTTCTATTCTCAATTTTATCCTAGGTTCATAATTCAATGGTAAAGCATGGATTGCGAGAAAAACTCTAAAGACTTAACTTTTAAACTCCTAACGTCTCAAGTGATGATTCGTCCTGAATATGCATAAAATATTTGCCACGGGACGTTAAGCAACCAACAATAAATCGTTCCTGTTGATGGTATAAAGGAAAATGTGATTTTTGAAAGACGGAACATATAAACGTTTATAGATCACAGTTGGGCTATGAGAAATGAGCCAGCATGAAATTCATACAACCGACCCCTGGACATAGAAAGATAGTCACAAACAAATTGGAGAGAAAAAAGTAAGATTTGTGAGTACGAAATCTTAACAAATTATCAGTGGAAAATGATATAAATAAGATATGAATATCACACTTTTTTGTATCATATTTTATTCAAGTTTCTTTATCATGCTTAATATGATCAAGCTTGCTGCTTTAAAATAAAAAGAATTAAGATGTTACAAACTTTTATTTGATGCATTTTACTTATATTAAATGTCCGGAAAACATCGAATAATTTTCACCTAAAATATGCCCTGAAGGACGAGGTTGGATGATAGAGATTCGATCCCCTTTCTCCAATTCGAGAATGGCTTCTAGAGATCCTGTTGTAAATGGTGCATATGCAGCATGACCCCTTACAAGTCGATTGTTATTTTTCGCCAGGGTCAGTTCGAGCCATTCGTTTCTATTACCAGCGACGAAACTCACTGCGAATATGTATGTCCCTTTACGTGGAGCCGTAAACACTCCGGAATTTGCGTCGTATCCATTCCCGATGTTTGTTAGAATAGAATCAAATTTAACTACGCTGCTAGATGTTAACGTCACTTCTCTTGGGGTTAATGTTGCAAGAAACGCCGGTTTTTTAAAGGTTCCTCCTAAAAAAAAGAATTATTTCATAATAATTTTAAGAATCGTATTTTTGCTTATTTTATATAATAATAGTTGTGAAAATTAGGGGTGTGACCATTAATGTCTTTACTAATATAAGTAAATGTTTCAATACAGTTAAATCAAAGTTTAGGCATTGCAGGTCTAGGAGAAGAATATATAGTGCACATATTGGAATAAAAATTGATTCTTATTATGTCGTACCATTGCAAGCATGGTGATATGAACTTTTCCATAGCTAAAAAAAATTTATTTTTTGATATGATTTCTACACAAATAATCATTGTGTATATTCTATTGAAGATCTATCAATTCAAATGTACAAGAAAAAAGTAAAATAACAAAAATACCGAACTCCAAGGAAAATTCAAGTCGGAAAGTCCCTCATCAAATGGCAAAATCAAAAGCTCAAACACATCAAATGAATTGAAAACAACTGTCATATTCCTGACTTGGTACAGGCATTTCCTTATGTAGAAAACGGTGGATTAAACCTGGTTTTATAGCTAGCTAAACCTCTCACTTGTATAACAGTCGCATAAAGTTCCATTATATTGACAACAATGTGTGAACAAAACAAACAGACATAATAGGTAAAAATGTCAAAAACAGGGGCACAGTAGCCAACACTGTGCCACAATCCCAATCCGAATCACCACAAGAATAAGCTTCCCGACATATTTCTTTGGTTGTCTGTTTCTTTAAATTCTAAATTTGATAGTGAAGTAAATTCTTTTTATGTTATGAAAAAATGTTATTATAGAATGTAAAATAATTATTGATTGTCTGTTTTTTCTGCTGTTTTATTTTACAATTCACAAACAAACCTAAGAAAATATACATTTGTAGTATTATTGATACAGCACGGTCGGAAAATATCGGTTCATGTATAAACTCCGAATTAGTGTATGATAAGTAAATATGTGTTCCTTGTGCGAAAAAGAGAGGCGAAAGATACCAAAGGAACATTCAAACTAATAAGTCGAAAATAAACTGACAACGCCATGGCTAAAAAATACCAACAGACAAACAATAGTACACAAAACACAATATAGAAAACTAAAAACTGAGCAACACGAACCCCACCAAAAACTGGGGGTGATCTCAGGTATTCCGAAACGGTAAGCAGATCCTGCTCCACTAGTGGCACCCGTCGTGTTGCTCATGTTAGTACAAACCCGGTAATAAGTCTTATTCGGTAGATCACATTCGGGAAAAGGGGGCGGGATTATAGTTACGACATTAGGAACATATCCGTTATCATCTGTGAAACGGATATTTCATAACGGTCAACCAACTCGTGATGGCGTCCGTAAAATTTACGAAGGGATGATTTCAACTTCACCACTTGGAACTCTTGGTTTAATAGCTTCCTTGTGAGCAGCAACCCTCTATCAATGAAATCATGATCGGAAATACAAGCCCTGGAATATCGTTTAAACTGGGAGATATATACTCCGTATGCAGACGCTGCTGGAATGTTGCAACATAGAAATGGAAAATTCACAATTGAGAAGCTGATATCATCTCTTTTGTCGTAGAGCTTTGTTTTCAACCGACCCTCATTGTCAATTTCTAGATGTAAGTCAAGATATGAGGCAGACTTAACTGTATCTGTTGTATCCTTTATATCAAGTTCGATGGGATAGATGCGTTCAACATAGTCAGCAAATTTTGAATTATTTAGTGAGAGAATATCATCATCTATATAGCGGAAGGGAAAGTTAAAGGATACTGCTAACTTCTTTTCTTTCTTCCTAAGAAGTTCCTGTATGAAATAAGGAACAAGTCGGCAAGAAAAGGGGCACAGTTGGTTCCCATGGGAATGCCGATTGTTTGTTGAAAAACACGTCCTCAAAACGTAACAAATATGTTGTCAATCAAGAAATCAAGCATCTTGATAATGTCATTTTCAGAGAATTTTTTGTTTGAATCAGAGTGTTTTTTTACAAAGTAGGATTTATCCCTCCCCAAGACAAGATACTTGTATCTACGTTGGCCATTCTTTTTTATGAAACAAAGCGAATTGACATTGAAAAGTGTTGTTGAATACATACCTGATTGACAAGTAATCTTCTTCATGACATTCATCAAATCTTCGAATTCTCCATTGTCTAAAATATATGGGTACGACATAGTTCAACAAAATCATAAGAAGGGAATGGTAAGTACATGATATAAATGAAATTGAATACTTCATGTACTTAGTATGCTAAAGAAGTTTAAAATAGCCTATGCAAAATATAAATTTTCCTTAAGGTCATACAAAAAAATTACTTTTGATTAAATAATATTATTTACATTGCATTAAATAAAATGTAAATTTTGACAAGTTCTATATTTTCTGATATCATTGAAAAACAGGAAAAACAATACCTAATACACTTTGGCCAAATTATAATAAGCGATTCGCAATAATGAATAATAGATGATAATATTTATAACGAAAAGTAAATAGATAAATAAATCTTTGTTTATCATGTTTATATTATTTTAATGTTATGGCGACCAAGATTTATTTTCTTGCACATTTAAAATAAGCGCCGACAGCACTTCTTTTATATGTTATTCCCATAAACCATGCCACAAGAAGAATAGTTAGAGACTGATTAACAGTGCATCAAGTCTTTCAGTTGCCTGATTAATGCATTTATTTAGTCAACAAATAGTACTTGCTAACCATAGATGTTCCCTAATTTATGATTTTCTTTAATCAAAAGTATCTTCCATCGACTATGCATTGCAGTGGGGAAAATACGTACATACGCATATACTCACCAAAACAATTATTCGCGTAAAAAATGAATCTTAAGACGACAATAATTACATTACATAAAATGTTTACGTAAAAACATGCAATAAATTTAGGCAAACACTTACTTATTCCTGGGCAAGAGCTGTCAGCAGATGATGCATACACTACCATCAATATTAGAAAGATTAACTGTAGATTCATATTCTGTGACTGATCTGAAACGAAAGGTTGCTTAATCATAAGAAGTGACAATACAAAATTGAACTATCATGTCCAAATGCAAGGCTATAAATCCGTGATTGATTGCGTGATAAGATCATTCGATCCGATACTATTTTGTAACATGTGTAGTTCTGGTATAATTTAAAGATTCAGTTACAGGAAATGGTAAAAGTAATACTACATATACCCTTGATTGTTGTTTGTAACATGAGTAGTTCTGGGTCAATTTTAAGCATTCAAATCAACGCACATAACACACACACATACACAAGTTGTTTACTATGTTCAAATCTCATAAATTTATTAATCGGTACATATGAATCATTGTGAATGTACAAATAAAAAAGAAAATGAGGGAATTGCATCAACTATTTAAGGATCGCGATAGGGTACGAACGTCGACAGGGAAAACGTTTTCTGCTACGCAGTCTTCATAAGAAAATTTTGAAAAATGTTTAATAGTTGCATTATTATGCACCTCTTACTGTAGTTTTAGAACTTTAAAGCGTTATTAACAATACATAAAATACTTCTTTTCTGTTTATTTTCCTTTCCATTTTGGATTGATCAAGAGAAAAAAAAAGAATATATTCTCATAGAATAGAAAAAAATAAAGATGAGCATTTTCTAAACCATATCTTAACAAGAAAATCATCACCTGAGTTAATTTGAGGTTATTATTATGATTTGAAGATAAGAAAGATTTGCAATCCTGATAAAATTCCATTACATGGCAATTAATGTTCCAGTCCGGAGTTTTTTTAATGCAAAGGCTCGCAATCTCAAACAAAGTCTACAAACTTTTCCTCTGTTATCCTTGCATCTAGATAACTTCTTATCTGAAAACAGGATTATTTACAACTTTGTACAAATACTGTAATTTGATTGACCATCAAAGTGAACACTGGGCGAGCTCATGCTTTTTTTTTATCAATGAAACAAAAGCTATGAGAGGTTCGATTAGAAAGTTCCTACTTTTCACCAAAAGTTTGTGATACTGTGGATTCATTTATTTTCGTGGGTATCAATTTTCGTGGATAGAGAAAAAAAGACGTTTCGTGGTATACGTAAATTCGTGGATCGCTGATTACAAAAGAAAAAAAAATTCAGATACGTAATTCGTGGATTTCTTTTTAATTTAGGAGATCATATAACCTCCATGGTTTTATCAATAATAAAACAAACAAAAAAGAAGGAATTCATTGAAAAGGTTTTGAATTGTCAAAATCCTCGCTTGGTCATTCTAGGTTAAAGTGTTCATTGAAAACTTCTATTACAATAATGGACAGAGACAACTAATTACTTGTTTGTTTTACAATTTATAAATTTTGGTCGGAATTTTATAAGGCATTCAAAACTCTATGATTGAAAGCTCATTTCCCTAATCACGATATAATAAACAGTCATATAAGTAAAAGGTGTGAAAATAAATGTTCCTGTCATAAACAATATTACCTACGGGCAATATCCACGTACTTAATCCCATTGATTTTTAATCACCAGTATAACACGGTCATTAACAACTTGCAGTTATTTTCCATGAACAGTTTTATTCAATTTTAAAAAGTAAATTATCACTGATATTCGATATATTAATTATTGATTTAATCAAAATACTTGTATCTACTTTCAATAAAAACACGTGTTATGTTACAATGTTTATCGCTAGTCAACACTATACTAGAACTGCATAACATAACCGGAAATAAACACCCGACTCCATACACATTTCTTGGGATTATTCTTCGTTGAATTCTTAAATTCGTGGTTCGCTGTGACCCACGAAACCCACGAAAATTGGTATACCACGAATAAAAATGAATCCACAGTACACAAAATTTAAACAATATTAAAATTACGTATTGTTCAGAATTTAAGATTATTCACAAATCATGCGTTTTCATTCCTAGCAAAGGTTGTTATTTTGAAGAGAAATATTGAAAGATATTTTGCGCACGTCGAAGCAAGGTTAAATGCTTGTGTGTCTTATCAGAAAATAAGATTTTCCAGTTTTATTCAGTTTGTTATCATTCCTATTTAATCCAATCGAAAGCAGAGGGATTAGGAAATCAAAATATAACCAATCGCCCTATGTTTGTACAAACAGAGCCTATTTTATCATATTAAGGCATAGATTCGTCAACCTCACAAAAGCTTGTCAGGAACTATAATGGGAAGTTATCATTGTTACATTTGTGTCGGTGTAAAATATAACCCAATTGATGAACGTTGAAACGATGGATTTTAACTCACTGTCTGAGATGATTTCTTATTTATTTTGCAAGCAAATCCTTGCATGAATTTTATGTTAACTAGATTTTACTGACTATGTTTTAGAGAATATACCTTTATTTTTTATTAATATCAACTGCTCACAAAATATTGTAAGATATCAATAGCTATAAATATAGACAACATTATACAATTCAAGTGAAGATTTAGAGCCTAAATGAACAGGTTGACCAGTAAAAATTATACTAAGTACTAAATTTGGAAAAAAAGATCGGGTCGAATTGTTCTCTTATTAACAACTCATCGAAAGTTTTTAAAGCTTTTGATTAATTTTGAAACCGTCGACATTAACTCCATCGCAAGCATATGACTAATGTAAGGGAATATTTGATGTGCCAGGAACTTTTTAGATTAAAGGATAACATAGTAAAATTTTAGTCTCTGCTTGAGATTAAGAGCCTTTGCATTAAAACTACTCCAGACTAAAAAAGAGAGGCGAAAGATATCAAAGAGACATTCAAACTCATAAGTCGAAAATAAACTGACAACGACATGGCTAAAAAAGAAAAAGACAAACAGACAAACAATAGTACTGTGACACAAAACACAATATAGAAAACGAAAGACTGAGCAACACGAACCCCATCAAAAACTAGTGGTGATCTCAGGTGATCTCAGATGCTCCGGAAGGGTAGGCAGATCCTGCTCCACATGTGGCACCCGTCGTGTTGCTCATGTTAGTACAAAACCGGTTATAAGTCTAATTCTGTAGGTCACATTCGGGGAAAAGGGGGCGGGATTGTATTTACGACATTAAGAACATATCCGCTATCATCTGTAAAACGGATATTCCATAACGGTCAACCAACTCGTGATGGCGTCTGTAAAATTTACGAAGGGATGATTTCAACTTCACCACTTGGAACTCTTGGTTTAATAGCTTCCTTGTGAGCAGCAACCCTTATTCAAGGAAATCATGATCGGAAATACAAGCCCTGGAATATCGTATCAACTGGGAGATATATACTCCGTATGCAGGCGCTGTTGGAATGTTGCAACAAAGAAACGGTCAACCAACTCGTGATGCCGTCCATAAAATTTACGAAGGGATGATTTCAACTTCACCACTTGGACTGAACAATTAATTGCCATGTAATGAATTTTAAGAAGGATTGCAAATGTTTGTTATGGTCAAATCATAATAATAACCTCCAATCAACTCAGGTGATGTTTTTCTTATTGAAAACACAATATTAATCATTCTATCTATTATCTATATAAGATATGTAATAGAAAATTATCTTCTTTATTTTTTTTTTTTTATTCTATGATAATATAATCTCGTGTGTGTGTGTGTGTGTGACAACATAATTATGTTTTAGTAAATATTATTCCATATGCTGTTATCTGAATTCTTACAAAGGAACCAGAACTAGTCATGTTACAAAAACAATCAAGGATATATGTAGTATTACTTTTACCATTTCCTGTAACTGAATTCTTTAAATTGCACCAGAACTACACATGTTACAAAATAGTATCGTATCGAATGATCTTATCACGCAAGCAATTACGAATATGTAGCCTTGCATTTGGACATGATCATTCGATTAAGTATTGTCACTTCTTATGATTAAGCACTCTTTGTATTCAGATCAGCCACAGAATATGAATCTACAGTTAAGCTTTCTAATATTGATGATATTGTATGCATCATCTGCTGACAGCTCTTGCCATGGAATAAGTAAGTTTTGTTGTTGAATTTAATGCAAATGCAATGTTATTTGTTGTTGTTACTTTTTTTTGGGGGGGGGGGGGAGGGGGGGGCTAAATTGTTTTATTTCATGTGATGCGCATGATTGTCGTCATGAAAAATTATTTAAAACGCGAATATATGAGAATACACGTTTTGTCTCTTACTGCAATGCATGGGAGATGGAAAATACTTGTAATTAAGGGAGATTAAAATTTGTGCAGCAGACATAATGAATAAGAACTATTTGTGTGATTGAATAAATGGCTTAATCGGGCAACTGAAAGTAATAACTCACTGTTAGCTGGTCCTCTTAATATGCTGCTTGTCGCTTGGTATAGAAAAATAGCTTATAAAGCAATTGTCGGCGCCGCTTAATTTATATGTTCAACAAAATAAATGAAACAAAACAAAACAATCATATCAAATCTTGGTTGGCATAATATTAAATCATTTAAAGCTTAAGATTCATTTTATCAATCTATTTTTCGTTATAATATTATCATCTATTGTTAATTATCGTTCTTTTTTTATGATTTACCGACGCATTTTTTATTTTCTCAATGACATTAGAAATGTAGAACTTGTCATGTTCCTAAATAATCTTTATAAAAATGAACATTTTACTTAGGCAATAGTAGCTCAATTCTTAAACTCTTTAGCATTATAAGTTCATGACGTTTTTAATTTCATTTACCTATTATACTCTTGTTATGATGTCGTACTCATATATTTTAGACAATTGAGAATTCGAAGATTTGGTGAATATCATGAAGAAGATTACGTATCAATCAGGTATGCATTGAACAATACTTTTCAATGTCAATTTAGTACAATGAACAAATATTCACTTAGTATTAGATAGTTGGTAGGTTATACGGCCCTGCTGTATCAATTTTACTAAAACAAACTATTTGTGAATGGTTTGTTTATGAATTGTTAAAAAATAACTAAATCACAATCAAACAAACATATAAATTTTATTTTTAATTCCATCACAAATTTATTTTTCTTAAAAAAAGAATTTACTTCATTACTGAATTTATAATTTATTGAACATTTTATAGACAATATAAGAAAGAAATTTTCAGGAAGCTTATTCTTATATCTTTGAATTGATTGATATTCAATAAAGTATACTAGTAAACAATAACTATCTGTGTAGAATTCTTATCAAGATATAAAATGCTTTCGCTAA